CTCAGGGACCAAATTTCTCACTGGAAAATCCCAGTTTGCCATCCATAAAAATCTCCTTTTATCTACTGAGTCAACTGCAGGTCCTGGATGGATCTGGCTTCCTGGTGCTGTTGGAATGGGAAGGATACATGGCTCTGCACAGGTCTAACAGCCCCGTGGCTTTGCCGAAACTCTGTGGTGGTGATTCCAGCATGATTTCCTTCCACTCCCGCCTCCTGATCCTTTTAATTGCAGTTGGATCTATCCTGGGAGCAAAACCAGCCTTGGAATCATATTTTTTCAGCAGGCAAGCACTAATTTCCTTCATTTTCCAGCCTGGGATGGAGCTGGGCATGGGTTTTGTTGTTTTTTTTCCCCCCCTGCATACCAACCACCTTCCCAGGAAAGGGGCCCCTTTCCCACACCCAAGATTAATCCACTCAAAGTAGGGTCGGAAAAAAAGCCCGGAGTGTCACTTATCCCAGCCAGTCCCAACAAGGAAAATCCCAGGAGATGTTTGCCAATCCTTGGTGGATCCCACAAGCTCAGCAGTGACCCACACCTTCTCCTCCCAATGCACATTTGGGATTGGATAACTCCACCCCTCCGCAAAAAAAAAAATCAGAAAATGCCTAAATTGGTGCCAGGGTTTAAAACCACTGGTTTCTTAATCACAGGGAAAAAAATCCCACAGTAGAAGTGAAAGCCCTGATGGAAATTAACTTAGGGAGGGCAAACTTGGACATCAGGGAAGCTCTGGGGGGATGCAAGCTCTCCCGTTTGGGATGACACCAACACTGGGTGACAACTTCTAGGTGTCAGTATCTGAAAATTAGATTAAAAGGGAATTTTGGAGCTGCTGTCTCAGGTTCTCATTTGAGTCATGGATAATTAATGGATCTGGGGACCTTTCAGGATGGGGAAGTGCTGGGTGATGGGGGATCCCAGCTGGAGGGCTGACAGAGCAGTGGGAATGTGGGGAGTGCCAGGGACAGGCCCAGAGGTCCCACAGAGGACAGTGCCTCTGTCCCAGCTCCATTGCCATGGCCAGGACCTGTTCCAGAGGCTTCTGACACCCTGGGCAGCTGCAAAGTGATGCCCACTCTGTGGTGGAGACCTCCTATGTGCTCATCCCTTCCCTTCCCTTCCCTTCCCTTCCCTTCCCTTCCCTTCCCTTCCCTTCCCGAATCCTTTCCCATTTCCCATCTCTCTTGAAGGCACCATTTCCTTTCAGGACATCCCTCTCCCCTCCATCCTCCTCTGTGACAGAACATTTTTGGAAAACACGAAAAAGAGTCTTAATTTTATGGGGTTTTTTAAAAGTAATTTAAAGTGGAAACCCAGAAGCTCCAGGGCTCAATTCCCTGAACCTAGGAGAAGGAGAAGGGGAATGGATGGGATTTGCCTAGCTTTCCCTTCCCCTGTGGGCAGTGTCTGTGGATTTCGGGGGCTGCGAGAGACCCACAGAGGAGCTGGGGGGACCCCGAGATCGGGGGAGACCCTGAGAGGGGCTGGAGACCCCCTAGGAAATGGGGGGATCCTCAGGGGGATGAGGAGGTACAGGGAGGAATGGGGGTGTCCCTGAGGGGACTGTGGAACCTCACAAGGGGGCTGAGAGTATCAGAGGCAGTAAGAGGGGCTCAGGGGAACTGGGTGGGGGGGGAATTGGAGGGGCTAGAGGAACTGGGGGAGCAGAGAGAAGGGAGAAGGGCTAGGACCTGGGGTGGGGCTGAGGAGATTTGGGAGGCTAAGGGAGTTCAAGGGCATTGAGAAGAACAGGAGGGGCTGAGGAAAACAAAGGGGGCTGAAGAGAATCAGGAATTCTGAGGAGCTTTGTGTGGCTTGAGGGGAAATGGAGGCGTGACAGCTTGAGGGGGCGCTGAGAGGAATTGGGAGCATGAAGAGCTTTTGGAGGGGATGAGGGGAATCGGTTCGAAGAGTTTTAGGGGAGGGAAGGAGACCTGGAGGGGTTTGAGGGAACTGAGTGTCTGAAGAAATTTTTGGGGGTCTGAATAGATTTTCAGGAGTGTGAGGAGATTTGTGGGGCCTGAGGAGATTTTGGGATGGTCTGAGGAGATTTGGGAAAGTGGGGACATTGAGGAGTCCTGGAGGTGCTGAGGGTATTGTGGGGGTGAGGAGATTCGAGGGGCTGGAGGAGGCTGAGGAGAATGGAAAGAACTGACAGGATCTGGAGGATCTGAGAAGATTTTTGGGTGGGGTTTGAGTGAAACTGAGGGTCTAGGGTGATCTGGGCATTTGAGGATCTTTGGGTGGGCTAAGAGGAACTGGGGGACTGAAGCGATTTGGAGGCACTGAGGAGATTTTGGGGGATTCTGAGGAGACTTTGGGGAGGTAAGGACACTGAGAAGTCCTGGAGGCAGTGAGGAAACTACACAGTTGAGGTTGGCGGAATCTGAGACTTGGCAGAGTCCGAGGAGAACTGAGGGAATCAAGAGCATTGAGGAACTTTGAGTGGGCTGTGGAGAACTGGGGGGCTAAGGGAAAATGGGTGTCTGTGGAGATTTTGGGGGTACTGAGGTGGACTAAGTAGGCTGATATTTAAGTGGGCTGAGGAGATTTGAGGGTTGCAGAAATTTGGGCTGGCAGGTGATACTGAGGGAGTGGGGATCTGAGGAGTGAGGAGACTTGTGGTAGCTGAGGGAACCAGGGAGCCCTGACAGGGCTGAGGGAGTTTGGGGAGCTGAGGGGGCTTTAGGTGGCTGTGGACCTTGTGGAGCCCTTCCGGGACTGACGGGACTGGCGGGCCGAGGTGATTTTGGAGGCTGAGGGAAGCGGGGAGCCGTGGCAGGGCTGAGGAGCTTTGAGGGGCTGTGGACACTCAGGCATCTTCCCGGGCCTGAGGGAACAGGGGGCTGCGGAGCTTTGGGGAGCCCTGATGGAGCTGCGGGAAACGGGGAACTGAGAGGGCTTGGGGGCCTGACGGGTTTTGGGGAGCTGACAAGGTTTGGGGAGCCAAGAGGGCTTCCGGGGCTGCGGACACCGGGGACCCCTCCCGGGGCTGAGGGAACAGGGGGCTGCAGAGTTTTATGGAGCTCTCCTGGGGCTGCGGCAGTTTCGGGGGGCTGCGGGCCCCAAGAAGCCCCTTCGGGCCGGGGTGCCCCAGCCCAGCCCAGCCCGTCCCTGGGCGGGCGGTGGCGGCGGCGGGGCCGGGCGGGCCGGAGGCGGGGGCGGCGGCGGGGGGGCGGCGCGGGGCTCCATCTTCCTCCGTGCGGCGGAGCCGGCGGGACGGCGGGGCACCATGGCTGTCGGTATAGGAAGTGTCTTTTTTTT